CGAACATTTAAAAAGCTGCTTAAGAAATGAAACCAGAGGAAAAATGTCACAAACGACTGCAGGAAATAAATCAGCCGGGTGACCCACATGTGACCCTGTATCTGTAAATGATTTGTAACAGTATCCTGTTGCAAAACTCTTTATTTTGAAATTCAGAGCTCCAAGCTTTTATTTTGTAACATTACACTTGTTACTCTTTGTGTTAAACGTTTTTTTTTTTCACACTTGTAAGTTTCAGTAACTTGCAGATTCAGCTGAGCTCATGTTTTGCAGCGAGAGGCTGGTCTGCTGTCACTATGTGAGAAACGTAAAAATGTGTGAACACATCGTGCTGCAGTTGTTTTATTGCTCCACTGCTGAATCATCTGTGCACAGCAGGCAGAAAGCGGGCTTGATTGTCGTTTTTAAAATTACTGCATTCATAAAACGAGTCACTGGTTTTTCCAGGAAAACCCGGGGTGATTATACAATCTACCTGCTCAATGACACATACAGTTACCATCATTAGTAGCGGTTCTCAAACTCTGGGGCGTGGGCAACAAGAGGGAACCTTGAGTTGAACTTCACTTGATTGACCGGGCTTTTTTTTTCCAGGAAAACAGATTGCTAAAGCTTCATGAAGCAACAACAGCTCAGCTCCTGTTTTTATTCATCATAAAAGTATAAAAAGACTTTTGTGGCTTTTTCTAGAACAATTGTGGTGAAAACTGAATGAGCAGTTATGACAGTATGTTTACACCATACAAATAAACACGCACTGCATAATTTTAATTAAATCTGTTACTACAGTACAAATACTTTTACATTGAAAGACTTAAATTTAGTCTTAGGAAATTAAAAACTATGATTAATGTATGAAAATTGCTTGTTACAGTTTCTGAATAAGACAAAAACTTCAATTGTTCAGTCAAAAGCAAACTGAAGTAATTCTCTGCACTGCAACAAAACCTCGATTACTGCTACTTAAAGGTGCATTTCCTCTTTAACACTCGGCATTAACAGAACGTGACTGCTAGCAAGTTTCAAAGCATCTTTTTACTGTTAAGAAATGCAAGTTGAAATAATGCTCAGTTGTGCGTCTCATACGCAGTGAGTCGATGTGACCTTTATTGGACCGAGTGAGCTGTTAAACATTCTTATTTCCAGCAGAAGCTTGTTGAGAAAATGGTGTTAAAAGTTAAAACAGCAACACTCCCGCTGCTCAAACACTGGTTAAAGTTGAAGTCACAAATTGCAGAAAAACTACAAAAGTACCTTTAAAGTGTGACACAAAGCACAGCAACAGAAAACTCCCAGACAAATAAAATGTACAATTGCCTTTTATTATTATTATTAATCATTTGCAACAAAGAAATTAACCACGTTTCAGTTTCTGCTCACATTAAATGGAACTCACATGATAACCAAAATACAGACAGCTCATATCTACAGGTGAAACGCAACACAGAGTACAGGTACAGAGGAACAGTGCTAGAGTTACGCTTTACTTAACTGTGTGAACTTTTTACTGAGCTCATAAAAAGAGACGTACACGCCAGCCTCGAGCCATCGCTGCTTAAAAAAAACAAAACAAAAATCCCACTAACACTGGAGACCTCCCGGCGACGCAGATCTGCTGACTGCTGGCTCTGGAGTTTGTGTTGTAGTCCAGTTCAAACACCACAGAAGAAGAAGGGAGGCGTCTGCTGTTGGCTCACTTCCTCCGTCTGCTGCTCGATGATTGGTTCGGTGACCGTCTGTTGCTGCTTCTACCAGGAAAGAGTTTAAGAAAAACAAACAAGTCATTTCCAAACCTTTTCCACTACTACTCCACTTTAATATAAATAAACCTTTATTCATACAAAATCGTTTCACAACAGCTGATGTGAAACAGGTGCATTAGATACAAAAGCACCAGCTTCTGTAGATATATCTGCATATATGAGCAGGGAGGTTAAATTTGAGATGTTCTGTCTTCATTTTTGTACCCTGACAGGAAGTGGTGATGTGTTCATTCCTATTTGTTTTACAGTTTATGGCAGGTGTGTCAAACACGTGGCCCGGGGGTCTGAAACCGCCCGCCAAAGGGTTTCAAAGTTTGGTCTCCACTTCTAGCAAATCTCCTGGTCTTTTCGCCCTGCATTACTCACTGCTGCACATCTCACTAAACAGCACTAAAACTAACAACCTGTTTATTTTTTAATAATCTTATTCAGCCTGCTGAAGTCATCAGGACATGTACATGTAATCACAGCAGGCTCTCGATATATTTTAGCTTCAGCATCATTTAAAAATACGTTTAAAACTCCACAAATGATTTTTTTCTGATTCTGTAAAATCAACCAAAATGAATAAACGACACCATAGGCTGCTGTCGCTCTGTGTAACGTTCAAATGTCCTGGGTGGTTACAGACCTGCGGCTCGGTGAGGACGCCACTGGTCTCACGTGTCGGGGAGGAGAGTAACTGAGGGAGCGAGAATCTCTCAGCGAATCAGCCGGCACCCGCTGAGGCCTGACGGGGCTGCGAGCAAAACAAATCTGTCATCAGACTACCGCGCTGCAACCTCGGCATAATCGAACATCACTGTAACCATTAAAGCTGAAACAGGCCGGTACTCGCCTAACGGCTCAGCGACTATGATAACAATGATAACAATGAGAACTTCCAGAGAAGTGGTGACTACACAGGAGAAAAAAACATTAATTGGGCAACAGTTCGTTTTATCTGCCTGTTACTGTAGTTTAACATTTTACAGGACCACGGAGATATTTTTCATGAAATCTTTAAGCTAGCTGGCAGCTCGCCACTGTTGCCCAAAGTGATGTCACAACTGATGATTAAAAACACAAACAACAACAAACTATTTTGCAACTTCCTGTTTCCACTTGTTCTCCTCCTGAGTGTTTCTTTCTTTCCGGAGACTTTCGCTTCGAGCATAAACGTGTCGTTGCTGTGGTCCTCCCTTCTTACCTTCTCTTCTTTGCTTCCTTCTCGTTGTCAGAGGAAGAGGAAGCAGAGCTCTTAGATTTGGCTGCCTTCCTGTTGGAGAGAAAAGAAAACGGTCTTAGTTCATTAATGGTGTGACGGACACAGTTAAAGCTCAGATGATTCGTCTGCTCACCCGTTCTCCTGCTCGGCTTCAGAATCTGAGCTGTCTGAAGAGGACGAAGATGATGATGAGGAGGAGGATGATGATGAAGAGGAGGAAGAAGATGAAGAGGAGCTGGAGCTGCTGCTCTTCGTCTCTGCCTCCTTCCCGTTTACAGCGTTCTCGCTTCTGCCCGTTCGTTCGGGTGGCTGGCGGCTGGCTGGCGGCGACCGCTTTCCGCTTTGACCCCGGTGCGGCTGCTTGCCGTCTGGTTGGCTGCTCCCCAGAGATCTTTGCGGGGTCACTTCAGAGCGGCGAGGATCCGACTGTGAGCCTCTCCCGCCTGAGGGCGGAGCATGAGAAGAGTCTCTAGAAGGGCCCTGTGAGGAAGAGGGTCGGCTTTTCTGCTCCCTCCTCTCGTCCTGCTGATCTGCTCTCCTGTCCCTCTCTGATGGTCCTCTGCTGTCTTTCCTCTCTGGCGGCGGGGACTGCGAGGACGCCGAGGAAGAGGAGGAGCTGGAAGAAGATGATGACGAGGAAGAAGACCTGCGGGGTTGGGGAACATCCTTTGGCTGCAGGCTTTCTTTTTCCTTCTCCCTTTCTCGCTCCTGCTCGAGCTCCCTCCTCCTGACCCTCTCACGTTCTCGCTCCCTTTCTCTTTCACGTGAGAGCGAGCGACTCGTCCTTCTTCGCCGCTGTGGAGACGGAGACCGCCGAGGCCTGGGGGGGAAAAAGATTTGACTTTACTGTTACTCTGCACAGAGTCAGAATCACCACCCACAACACACTAAACAGAAAAACACAATGATGTCAGATTAGAAACTTCCATCTGAAGTAAACTAAGTTTTTATTTATAATGACACGTTAGTACGTACGCGAGTTCAGAACAATAATTAATATTAGAGGGGGCTGATCTGATGTTCATACATCAGGACAGGACCGAGGTGTTTTTAGGCCAGCAGACAGCATGGTCTGGGTCTGCCCCAGGGCCTTCGTCTGACAGGGCCTTCACATTATGATCTCTGTGTTTTCCAAAGATTAGTGCATCTTTGGAAAAAACTGACTCAGAATGTCACAACTATTCAGAGACATGCAGCTGCCATCACATTCGTGACATCTTCTAAAATGTCCACAGCTTAAACATTTGATATTTGTTCGATTGTGAATGAGTTTGATATTTGCACATCGTTGCATTCTGTTTTAATTACATTTTATTCAGCGTCCCAACTATTGAGGAACTGTGGTTGTAAATTTGCCCCCTAAATATTCATCATGTGATCTGTTACCTACCTACTGTTGCCGACGACTGGAACTGTTAGGATTTGTGCGTGCTGTAGTCGTGTATTGCACTTAGACGAGCTCAAGCACAGTCACAGAAAAAATACAACATAAGATGATGACATCCTGTGAGGAGGCTGTTCATTAACTTAAGAGAACATGGATGTTGCCTCATGACAACACTGCCCTGCAGACCCTGCACTTACATGTAGGCTTGTCTCTTACCTGTTGGGGGGGCTTCGTCTTCTTAGACCTCTTGAAGTGGACCTGCTACGTCTCCTTGGACTCCTGGACCTGGTCCTCCTGATGACCCGCTCCCTCTCCCGGTCTCTGTCCCTCTGCCTCTGCCTGTCCCTGTCTCGGTCTGACCAGGCTGGAGGAGGTGGAGAAACTCTTCTGGACCGGGCTGGGGGGTCCTGATACTGCCTGGGTGGAGTGCGACGGGGGGGTGAGACGGTAGCTTTCCTCTG